TCTAGTCCTTCTTTTTTTTTTTTTTTTCCAAGTTTGAGGCGTGATTTTTTTCTTCCAAGTCAAGTTTTGCCTTTCTAAGCCTCATCAAGTTAAGCATCTCGTACAAAGAAGCATTTTGTTCAAGCCAGAAAACGAAATGTCAATTTAAATGAGAAAGCTGGAAGTTTATTAGGTAATAGCCAGTGAATGTAAAATCATACATTATGTATGGTTGTGATTACTTCTATGTAAGGTTAGAATCCAATCTATGGTCTGATCTCAGTATTTATTAATGGAAGATTTCTGTTTGTTCCTGTTGCCCAGGGGATTTCATTTTCTTACTAGATTGTTGGCTGTTTCTAAATAAAGGCTCTGGTGAACCCCAAATATTGGAAAGGTAGGGATAAATCAACAAACACTTCACTTGCCTGGAGAGGAACTTGGGGGAAAAGCATACCAAAAGACTAAAAAATTAAAATACTGAACATTGCCCCGAAATGTTGAATGTTAGCTGCATTTGGAAAGAAAGCATGCCCGTACTTGTTAATAGCAGTTGTAACACTTCTACTGTAACCCAGCTGAAAATAGTGGATTGCAACAGGAATGGGAGCTTCTGGTTTCAAATAAAATTCACACAGATTATCTTTCCCCCATCACAGCTCCATCAGCATGGGTTCCAGTTTATTTCTATTAGACCCAGTTCAGCAATATTTTGAGATAATAAAACAATTGGTTTTCCTCTTAATTAATATGCACTCAAGTCTGCAAATCCCGTTAGCCTTTCCTGGTTACTGCATAGGAGGTAAAATTCTAGAAGATACTGAGTCAGAAATAATCAACACAGTAATTCAGCCACAGTTTCCAATGACAATTACAGCAAATCATAATTGTCTACAAAAATTGGTCTACAGCCTGCAGTAGAGGCAAAAGATTTTGTGCATTTTATCCTAAGTTGGATAAAAGTTACAAACGAGTAATCCTCAGATAAGACTGTTCTGAGACAAGGCACGCAAACAAGATCAATTGCTGATGCTGCTCTCGGACATCTGAGGTACCACCGCAGTTTCCCGTGAGAGCTTGCTCAGGTACAAGAGGCAGCAGAGGCACGAAGACGACCGCAGCGCCAGTGCAAACACATTGGCCTGAGGCCTTTGACTTTCGGAACTCAATAGCTAGATCATGTACCTTTTTGCACAGAACACAGTAGGGAAGAAAGGTTGATCTTATCCACCAACCTCAAGCATTCCTCACTGCTATAAAAAAAAAAAGGTTTTAAAATTTAAGAAAAACCTCATAATCTATTATTTTACATTTTAAAATAGCTCAGATTTTGTCCTTTGCATATATAAAGGACCACTTCCCCCAAAAGAATTGTAGCCTTTGTTATTTAGCCCTTGGCAAAAATTGGGGCTGATTCTCACCAGATGCTCATTCATTTTCTAGATCATATAGGAAACCAAATGCCCCATTCTACTGAATTAATATGAATATGTTGCATAATCCACACAGCTAGAAAAGAAACAACTAGTTCAGTTTCTTATCCGATATTCAGAAAATACTGTCAAAAGTATTTTGATCCCTTTCATCACAGAACGCTTTATACGGCTTACCTACTTTCTTCACATCTGAAATAGTTTTTCAGATCAATATTAAGGGGCTGCTGATTCCTTTAAAAATGCAGTTAGGTGTATCTGCTTGCTCAGAGAAATCCTGAATGGTACCAGTTCTCATTATTCTGGCTTTCCATCTCTCAAATTTAGAGCTGTATTTGACTCTCCCAGTGTCTGTACATATACTCTGACCTTATGCTACTTCTAAACCCTTCCCTTTTGTGCCTAAGTACATTTAGTCTTTAGAGATTATTCCACACTCATAGCATTCATGCAGATACTGAGCTATTCACACCCAAATTTTACAGGAGTGCTTCGCAGTGCTAGAAGCAGATGTACTGGCCTGCTGCTTTAATCCATTTCACCTTGCATAATTTCCAGGCAATAACCTTATATCCTGAAGTGAACCATAGGATATTTCAGTAATGAAACAGTCTGTGGTTATAAAGTATTTAAAGACATTTCAGTGTCACTTAACAAGGAAATATTTAGTCAATCTACTACTATTACAGTAACGCTCAAATTGCCATCTGGAAGACCCAGATTCAAAAATCAGTCTCTGGATCCCAGGCTCGGCTCACGAAGGCTGAATACATTGTAAAGAAGATGCAATTAGTCTCCAGGGAAAGGCTTCTGCAGGCTGTCATTGGCTATGCAGCATGCAGCACACTCACTCGGGTGGATAAAAATAACATATTGAAATGGCAGCTGCTCAGCAAAGGAAGAGGATTTGAGCAGGGATAAAAATATACCTTAAAAAGAGGGGGAAAAAATGCCTGTCAAAAGCATTCAAAGGTAATACTGAATGACCAAATCAATAGTTAAGATTCACCTTTGAACCTCAAGCAGGAAACACTATTTCATATAGCAAGACAACCCAAGAACATAATTACTACTGTCCTAAACAAATCCAAAGCTAGCACAGTTAATCACCTCAGTCAAGAAGTACATACTATGAATTAATTTTGTTAAATTTTGAAGAATTCCTACTTATAATTTTATTACAGGATCGAAAACGTGCTGCACTGAACATATCATTTAAAGACAGAAATTATTTCCAACAGAGGGTTCCAAACTGTGTCTGGTATCTTTTATCATGTCCATACTGTAAGTTGTTTTGAAGGTATATTTTAACATAGTACTTCTTTCTCTTGAGGTCCATTACAATACGAAAGGGAGTGGTGTTAGTGTTGTATACTAAACTCATGTTGAGTCAGTATGAAAGCCTCTCAAAGACTCACAAGATAGCAGTGAGACCTATTAGATCATCTAAATTATTTTCATGCCATTCTGAGATTGCTCTCTACAGTATGTTTTATTAGTGTCTTGCCCAGGCTATTTTTAAAGTCTCAAACCCAGCTTTTCCTTTCTGAGTATCCAACTTTAGTTTAAAAGCATTTTATGCACTGAATAACCCATTTAAAATGCAAAACACAGAACTACTTATGGATCTGCTTATTTAACTGCAGGTGTTTGAAGTGGCAAGCAAGATTTGAGCTGACAACTATAATCTGTAATATTTTAAGATTCCTAGATTCAAGGTTTTTAAAGATTCCTTCCAATCAGTTTAAATAAAGGTGAGGCAAGAAGAGAAAAGTGAAAATAGGAGACAGAATCTGTGTTAAGATATAATCATACACCAACTGATACAGATGGGGGGAAAAAACACAAAAGGCTTGTGATCACATCAGCCCTTCTTCAGACTTGACTTGAAACGTTTTGCACCAGCAAGTCACAATTTTTTTTCCAGCTCTACCAGTTCGCTTAACTAAAGGTATTTCCTCGCCTTACAAATCCCGCCCTACTTCCAGATGACCGCAGCAGCTTTACCACAACCCGGTAGATGCTAGTTTGAATAAAGATCCATTCCTAAGTATATTACAGCAAATAAGTTACTGTATTAAGTCTACTGTGCCAGATAAGCAGCAAATTCAGTGTATTGCATATTTCACTATAAGCAAACAATGGTTTTGCTGAGGAAATCCTTGAAAAATGAAACTTCACAACAAAGTATTTCATGTAGGATCACTTGAATTTTTCATGTCAGTGACAGTACAGCCGTGTCACCTTGGGTTGTTATCTTGCCAGATTTCAGCAGCTAAAACCTGGGTTTGGCCTGCCTGACAATTGAATTGAAGGTCTCAGGGCAAATCCCAGGTGCTGCAGTCAAGTAAGGGCACCTGATTCTTGGTTCAGTATACAATGCTAGGAGTACAGCATGTTGCCAGACAGCATAGAAAATGAATGAAAGCTATTACTACTTGTCATTAATAAAAGCCTGGCCTGCCACCACATAAGCAGGTTTTGTAATTCTTTAATACTTTTATCTACATCAAGCTCTCCCGGTCATTTCAATAGGAAAATGTATTTCCTGATGTTTCTCATCACCCTGAACTGTTGCACAGTACTGGGGATGTGAAACACAAGCTGCAGGTCAGACCACAGTGAATGCAACAAATGCCAGTTACTGCCAGTTTATCAAAGGTCGGTCTTCTGAGCTGGAATCACTATTAAAACAAGCCAGATTTCATTAACACCACAAGCCTTGATATCATAAGAAATTTTCTTTCAGAAACCACAAATGCAGATTCGGGTTTTTTTAGTGGTCTCATGACTGGTAACAAAACTGAACGCTTAGATAACAAGCATAAGTAAGAGTTTGACTACTTTTACTTATACAAGTAACCATCGAATTGAAATAGATTACTCATTATACAGAAAAAGAATAAGAAAGTAGACTTCTGAATTGTATATCATAAGCAGTTTCTATTCAGATTTAGATAAAATATGTAGACAATACTTTGAATACTTTGTAAGTTGAGGTATTTTCAAAGAAAGATTACTTTTGGGAAAAGAAAAAGATAAATCCCAACTGCAAGTCAGTTCAACTTCCATTTTCCTTTCCCAATGGTACAAAGAATTCTGCAATTCAAGGCAGCAACAAAAAGAGAGGTAAAGGACTAAAAAAAAAAAAAAATGCTGAAATACTCAGTGTTCTCAAAATGACATAGATAAACCTAATTCTTCCCCAGAAC